AGCTGCCGGTACAATACAACTCAAGTTTACACCACGTGCTTTCGTAACTCCATCACGTGAATCTAAGGCCCCCGAAGAAGAAGCGGTGCGTTTTTTCAATACGCCATTAGAGATAAGCCATTTATTAGATATTAGCTATTGTTGATACTGTGCTCGTATATCCTTTCGAAAATCATAACAAATTCACCTGACTATTTTGCATTTTAGTGGCTAGAGAAAGTAGCTGAAATGAAGAAAATCAAAGCAGATACACAGACCAAAATGGATATGGAAGAGATGAACCCGACATGGTTGAAGGACAAAGGGAGGTACACACTTAATTGATTGGAGAATATTTAATGCCAGGATTTATAGTTTTATATGCTTGCTGGGAATGTGGTTTATTCCCTTTTTGAGGTTGATGTGATACGATAAACGTGTTTACTTCCACTGGTTCACATATTTCAATCTTCACTGGAAACACCTTCGAATTGGTTACGCTTTCATAATAGTTGATAGAATTCCTGCTTTTCTCGCAAAAGAAAGAAGCAAAATAGTTTTAGTACAATTGGATTAACTCGATACAATTAACCCGTGACGCTGTAGTCATTCAATATTTGTTTTCATATTGCAGAAATTTTTACAAGCAAGAGAATTTTATTGCAGCCATAAACGCATTTACGGCTGCAATAGTCTTGAATAGTTCAGATCCTTCGTATCTTTTCGTACATTCATTTTCACATTTGCGTCTGCTTGCTATGCTTTAAGCTTTTTGTGTAGCAATAAAACAAATGATAAATGTGCTTGGTAGAATTATGTTGTTTAAATCACGATAAAGCTTGATATATAAATTTAATCTTGTGTTTTTTACTAGGATTTTTATCACTAATTTTGATATTCTCACCTGAATTGCGAAGTAACTTCAAATAGTGAGCCTTGAGATTATCAATCTCTAAGGCTTTCGCAGTCAATCAATATAATCGTACGTCGACCTGTTTTCCTTTACCTGGCCAAGTTTATACAACAACCGAGCTGCCTGTCATTTGCACATGAAGCAATACAATGAATGTATTCAAGACACAACAATGGTTAGCACCGTCTCATTTTTCTTACTGTGTATAACTTGCAAAAGCAATGTGTGAAGCGTATTTAAAACTATACCTTAGATTGGAAGGCTAATTGAATAGGCATATGGGTATTAGATGGAGGCCATAATTGTTTTGTCACAAGAGGTAGACAGAATTACCAAAACTCTTGGAAGATATTGATATGTCGCTTGCATTTTCAAGTGCAGTGGCAGTTTAAAGAAAAGCAACTAAGTAGCTGATGTTTCTGCAGTTTTGTTTATTTTTTTATATTTATGGCAATATTACATATTGTTTCAAGGAAATGAATCTAGCTCTTTAAGTCTGATAAAGTCGATTCCAGGCCTAGATGTTCCTGTAAAGTCTCATACAACGATTTTTGGAGAATTCTTTTTAAACATTTTTAGGCTTTGAATCTTCTGGACCCACCTGTTCCAGCCAATGCCAAATCCAGGTCCATTGCTCTTATCAGGAGGGGCACCGCGCATTTTAAAGCAGAAGATTTTGTTCCTGGTGAGTAAAACTTTTTATCTTCTAAAGATGAGCAGGACCCTTTTTTTAGTAAAAAGAAGAAGCAATTTCCATAAGAACGTCGATATTGACATATGTGCATTATACGAAGCACCATAAAATCAGGAATGTGCCGATTGGAGGGGGCGTGGGGGACGTCAAGCCCAACAATGTCTACAGACTTCAATAAAGTTGGTCATGCAGCGGGAACCTTAGCATCAATTAGAAAGTTTGACCAAATTTCAACCTATAATTCATTCATTTTATTGGTCATGGTTGGTCATAGTCAACTTTCGTTTTTGTGATACACTCTCTTTTTATAAGAACATATTTATAAGAACACGAGCCTCAAATTGGTCAAAAGTTGAAAACAAATTAAGAACCAGCTGAGGCTGAGGTACTGTAAAATGCAATTTTGAACAACGTTTTATCTAAAAAACGAGGACTTTTAGCCATATGTGGGTTCTTTTTTCGGTAAATATTCAAACCTGCGGGCATATGAAGGCTCTCTCACTTACTTTGTTGGCAAATAAGGCCTGAACAAAACGCTAGCAATCGCACTATCAATTAATTTAAGAACAAATTAAGAACAATCAACCCTCAGATTTTCAAGAAAGACAGTCAGCCTGAACTCGAATTCACTGGTTCGTACAAAAAAGAGTGTATTGCAAATAACTTGCTATAAGGAGCAAGCTATCGACTTTAAGAAATGACTGCAAGGAACAACTGCAAGAAATTTTCTGAGATGCATTTTAAGCTAATCTGAAGGGTGTGGTCGCAAAATTTTCGCTCCGCTCGTAGAAGCATCGTCTTTCCATTTTGCCCCAGAGCCTCTAAAACCTCTCGGCGGCCTTCCAGCCACATTTGCCCCTTTAATTCTTATAAAACTTTATAGATTAGCGGACATATTATAAGCTGAAATTCTTTTTATGAGGAGCTCAAAAGAAGCTGCATTTCATTTTTGCAGATTTCCTTAAAATTGGCTTTTCGCAAAAAGATGCTCATGGATTCACCGAAAAACGCGAACTTCAGGAATATTTGTTTCCGCAAACATAATCTCCTTATATTTTCATGCAATCATTTGCTCTTACTTGTTATCATTAAGTGTGTATATGGTCATCTATTTCATTGTTAATGAATTTTCTATGGAGAAAAAATCGGTCAAACAAGTAAAGTTGGTCACTTTTTTTCTGAACTCCCCCAAACAAAATTGTCTAGGTACATCACTGCATACTATTCATAAAAATAATCAAACCTGAGCAAAGCAAACGAGCTCTTGATGCTGTCGCCGAAACTGCCACGCCAAAATGAAAAATATTTCATTCACCATATGACACTTGTTGTTGATTTTCATTCCAAGAAATAGGCCAATATCATCATTTCCGTAGGCTGCGATACGAAAACCAAACTACATTTAGCATAGTGTGTTGCAGTGGCCTGTTACCTGTATAGTATGTTGCAATTTGTATGTTTTAAAATCACTAAGGGTCTCTGTGACAGTATAATACCTTCAAAAAACAAACACAATGCATCCCCTCTCCCCTTCGAAACAATATTGAATAACAACAGTTCTAAAGCTTAAATTCACCCAATGTAGCTCTGTCAGCTAGGGTAAGAAATTGGCTTTAAAACTAATATTTTTTTGAGAAGGAGGGGGATATTTTTGTATCTTACGGCCGGAAACCTTTATTTCATCAAAATCTTTTATTGACCGCAAGGTGTTCCAAAGACTTTTGACAAGTATTGTAGCTTTTTTCCACCACAACATTGGAAACATGATCCAGTCACCATTATTAAACGATTTACACGATTCTAAAAATAACCTTCATAAAGTTACCACAAAAAAACCAATAAAGAAGCTACGAAAACTTTTTACAGGAAATTTCGTATGCAATGGAAAATGGTAAAGACGTTTCAATTTTTAGGTAATCTCACTTAAGTTAAGACCTAAGTAATTATGCATCTTTTGAAAATTCTGTTTTTGAGAGAACAACAAGCAACACATACTTAAGCAGGTCTTCTAGTCAAAATAAATTAAAACTGCAACTTTGTTCGAGAAATTCCTTGTTAGTCTGAAAGGTAGTTAAATTGTCTGTTTAGCTTCCTCGCGATTTATTAAATTGCACACAAGCCTACGAACTTCTTATAAATGGTTTACGGTTTATTTTAGACTTCATCTAGGAGGAAACGGCGGGTTAAAGTGAGCTTCACTGTAGCGACTGTTGGATTTCACTCTTGGGGTCCTTATTATTAGACCTTGAGCCTCATTATAAGGTCCTTTACCTTTTCATTTTTTTATTAGCGACTTTCCACCATTGTGTCATACGAAATTTGCAATGTCGCAGTCGATAACACTAAAAAAGCACGTGATGTCTTTAAGGAAGCAGGTAGACACAGTTAAAATCGAATTCTTGTGAAGAGAAAAAACTTCAATTAATAATACGCTTCATGCTATTTTCAGATCTACTGTAAAACAAAATAGGTTTTGATGACTGATTTGCAAACTCAGAGAGACGACTGATTTGCAATTCATCATCCTGAAGTTTGTAAAATATTGTTTTTATAGAAATGATGTTAGAAAGTTATCAAAGTAGATTTCTGAAAGCTATGAAGATTTTCTGTAGAAAAATTAAATCTTACGAGAAAAAATTGAAATCGCATACATTTAGGAGGCCCAACAATTTCAGCACAGAAATAAATTCACGAGGATGCTGGGGCATGCAGAAGATTCGACCCCCGCAGGAGGGACCTGCCCAGGGATGGAAAATTCTTTGATTCTTCTTTTCGCTGGATCTTGCTCCAAATTACTTTTGTTTGCGTTCCTTTTTAAACTTTTTCAATTTCCTTGTCATTGAAATAGCATAATCTTATTTAAAAAGAAATATTTCGGGATTGCGTTACATTGCTAAGTGGTACGCCTGGTGGCCACCATTTCGAGCGTATTCTTTGCTAGAAATTGTTTTCAAGTGCTTTACTTTTTCTGGATTAATATCCAGCATACTAGAAATTATATAATCTTATATTTGTGAACTATTTTATGTACTTTGTAGCTAGAAACAATTGCAAGGGAAATCTCAAGTATATCGGTCCTATTCCTGTCAAAGATATGTCCCTTGAAAGTAACCCTAAACAACCACACACCTGACCCTACAGATTTGTTAGAATTTTTCTTTGATACTTTATAAAATTAGAGAGTGTTATAAATTGCCAAAGCACGAACTAAAGCTAAAAGTATTCGAAACTGTTGTGTTTTACGCGATATTCTGCATATCTTACAGCTTTAAGTGACTACGAAGCTGCTTTGAAAATCGAGCCAAACAATGAAAGTGTGAGAAACGATGCTGATAAAATCAGGAAGATCATACAGGGATGCTAAAGTATACTAAGATAATCAATCAAGGATATCAAGGTTAGTGATGGCTCTACCAAGTTACATTTTTGTTTCCTGTGCCTTTTTGCTGTAAGATGTTTTTGAAAACTCAGTGATTAGTGCAACCGGATTACTCACTCAGCCTGTTTATAGTGACTGTAAAATGTTTCACTCTAGTATATGACAGTTTACAGTGAATGCTTCAAAAAGATTTTGCTTTGTGTAAATGACCTTGTGTCTAAAGCATATGCAACGTTGATGGTTTGAACAAAAAGATTCTGTCTATAACAATCAAATGAAGTAAATTGAAATGCCCAAATTTCCACTAGGCTTTTCGTTCTGCATTTGTTGATTTTTAGCAAGTACACCTCATTCACTTCAATTCATTAAGACTGGTAAGAAATTGATACTAGCGAGACTGCTGTCAGGAAAGCCCTGTTAATTTTGCATTAGGTCCAGATTTTGCCTATTTATGTACCTTGACGAGTCTCCAGGTCTCATGGCAGCGGACATCTGCTGCCTTCTCGACCTTAACTGGACGTGATTGTACATACTTAGGCAGGGATCAAACATCAGTGCCACGCATCGGATGCAGGGACGCCGGAGATGGCGTGGGGTCAACCCCCTTGTTGCCTTTTAATGGAAGGGGCAAGGGGGCCAAAGTGCCCTTTTCATAGAAGTGCCCTTGACATCGGCCGTTTATATCAAAAATTCATATTAAATTCTGACTGTACTAGGACACTTGTCAAAGCCTATTCATGACGACGTCTCAAACTTTTAAAGAAATTTCTTAGGTCAAAAGTTAGCCGATTTTCAAGATACCTACAGAAGATCGAAACAAAATGACAGTTACAAAAGAATTGTTAGTAGCTTGGATTTATTTTTCATGTGCTCTTTTATTCAAGCCTGCCCTCCCCCTGCCTTCCAGAAACGTCGCGAAGCAGTGAAGCAGTAATGTTTCTTCATTCGACAATAACAACCATATGTAATATTTTAATCTTACATTTTATGACAGCAAGTCAGATCTAAATTGAGAACAGGCCTTTCTTTTAGTACCATTAGATATCAATAGTAATCAACCTTCTTATACTATCTTATTGACTATGTCACGATATACGAAGCCTGAATGACTTTTAACAGCACTGATGATACCAGTCATGTAACAAGCTTTGTCTCAAAACTGATAGAACATATTATTTCAAGGCAGATCCTAAAAATGATTCTAAAAAGGAGTTTTTTGTTGTGGTTCAAAATCGTGAACAATACCCTATTACAAACTAATATAAATTCTACAGTCACCACGTGCAAAAGAAAACGCATTTACCACTACAAGTCTCCTTTGATCGATGAGGCAATTCACTCTTGCAAATAGTGTTCAAGATTTCCACGAAGCAATATAATTTCTCGGGATTTTCAGATTAAACAATAGGATTATTAGCGATTTCCCCTTCTTCGCTGCGGGTCATATCAAGAATGACAATATCATCAGAGAAAGAAAACAAGCTCTTGTTTTCTCAGCATGGTCAACAAAGCTGAAGAATTAAATATCAGCTTTCATGCATTTTGAATGCATACTAAAAGGGTCTCTTCCATAGAGAAATTAACACATGTACCCCCAAACGTTTAACTCGATGGTCGCCATGTTTTTTCGAGAGGTACATAAATCATTTCTGCGGACAAAAGGGCGTGTCTCGTGGTTTCGTATGCTGTTTTCATGCGTTTCTAATTCAATATTCAGTAGTTAAAAAATTCCATTTCAGGTATTTTAGCGCTAGACTTTGAAAGTTCAGCTGCTACAGAAATGTTAATTCGTTAAAAGTGTTACAGTTATGTTACAGGGTAAAACTCTGGCAAAACGACTGAACATTGTCCAGTGGACTTTTGCACTGTGGTAGAATGCGCGCGGGAAAACTGCGTCACAATCACCGTACTCGCGCCCTCTGCCTTCGTATTTCTCATTGGAACTAAAGCTAAGCTCTTCAGAAGACTCGTCGTTAAAAATTCGCGCCAAATCCAATCCATTATATCAGTTGCACGTGCACGGACTGGACAATGATCAGTGGAATGGCAAAACGACTGAACATTTCTCTACAACATCTATGAACAAAAGAAATTTAATCCTGTCCACTGAACATTTTTGACTGCCTTCAAAATCGACTGAACAAAGCTCAACATGTGGCAAAACGACGCAACATTTACGCTGGACATTTGCCCAGTGCATGTTCAGTGAAAATGTCCAGTCGTTTCGCCGGGGCAAGAAGAACAATTTGTTTCTTTTGCCCAACCAAAATCCTTTATGTGCCGATGAAAAAAGATACAGCGTCCCCCTATAACCAGCATGACCGCCCTACTCCCTTTAGGCGACGCCCCTACTCTGAAAATCCAGCTATCAATCTTCATAAAAAACCAATAGCTGAATCAAAGTTACCACCATAACCTGGGTTAAATTTGAAGGCGGGATATCAAGAAGCCAGCTGCGTTGACTTGTCATTGTCTCCACATGACAATTAGATATCGTCCTTGATGCTTTCACACACAAATACAATCGTGACAACGTAATCCAACCCCAGCGAAATATTACTGTAATCGTAAAGAATCTGGAAACAGGCTTAACAAACAGGCAATGTAATGTTATTGATTGAGGGGTATGTGCGTTTGAAGGTAAGTTGATGTCGATTCTTTATATGTCAGTAAGAGTAATAGAGTAGATCGTCGGGCCTTGTTGTGCTCTTTATGACACTGCCGTTGACAACTTTCAGATTTGACTATGCCTAAGAACAGTCCTTTCTGATTATCTAGAGAACAAATTACTAGCAGGCTCAGCTCTTATTTCGTTCGAGAAAGAACCTCTTTTTTCTGGTACTCGGGGCCGACTCTAACACATTTGCTATTGAAAGGCCATTTCTGCTCTTTCAACCCACATGTGATCAGAGAGTCAAGCTAAACAGGATATGCCTACACGATAACTTGCAATCCTGTCTTTGTAACATCCTTCAATTTCAGCGAAAATCTTCGGATAGGTAGGCCTAATAGTTTCGTAGTTTCGAAGTGATTTTTCAAATTTCAGATGAAGTTTATTTTTGGTGCGGTAATGGTTTGAACTGGTTGAAACGTCTATGTTTGTTAAATTTCAATTAGTACAGTTGTTTACTCCAAGTTATGTAAACGGAACTGCCCCAGGCACTCGATAAAGCTACTTTTCACTCGATAAAGCTCTTTCACTCTAATCGCCTATTTGTATTTGGTCCGTATGTCGAATTTGTTCCGTATATTTGCTGGTGATTTTGTGTTTCAGATTACAAGAAACGCTCGCTTGCTTATCCATTTTTAGGTGCGCCAGGAAGTCCCCCAGGCGCCATTTAGACAGGTAGATTCATTCCTCTGAAACTTGATGGAAATTGTTGACGCTTTTAAATTGTCAGGTAAATATTTTCTCAAGTTTCTGGCATAACATTAGTTTTCTCTATGAAAATTTGTCAACCTTCAGTATTTCGTTGATTCCAGGGATTGCAAATTTTAATGGTAATAAGGTTTATAAGAATCACTCATTATCAGTGGCGTAGCTTGATCTTCCAAACTAGGGGGGTCGGAGAGTCATGAGTAATATTTTACCGACGAAGACATAAATGGGGAGAAATTAAGGTACTATTTCACCTACCGATAGATGATTTTACCGACAAATCAGTTATTTCATGCATTAACTAAAGATTTACCGACAAGCTCATGAAAAATTACACCCCCGGTAGCTACGCCCCTGCTCGGTATATTGGTAGGTGTAGATGTATCATTGAGGCTTGAAATTGTGAAATTTTGAAATTTGACTTTTTATCAAATTGAGCTTTTTGACCAAACAAGACAAGGGTAGCTTTCACGCCAAAGTCGGAGGAATATTCGTTTCTCGCAATGGTTTCATGACAATGGTATCGTTTCCAATTTTCTCTTAAGAATGACATAAGAATGATTTCAAGCAGGAGCATACAATTACCAATTTTTAAGATTATTAAGGCCCAGCAAAAATTTTGTTTTTCTTATAAAACGGTGTGTATTTTTATAGTGGACATGCCGTAAAGAAGTGTAAATGTAAGGAAAACTTTATGACTTTATGACCAATGGGAAATGGAAGGCTGTTAAGCGTCAGTTTCAATAACATGGCCATCAAGATTTTCAATTTTGATCCTTTTATAGAGGTAGAAGAAATTATTTCAGGCCAAGACAACCTTTGAACATCACGAGTAATTACATTTGGTCCATGTGTTGAATTAATTGCTTGATTTACATCTCTCCGAACTTTTTTGCCACCGTGATTTTTAGCACCCTTACCAGGGCCCGCGCCACAGGGGGGGGCGGAGGCCACGGCCTCTATTTTTCTTGCTAACTGTATGCATTAAATCCCCCTTTTAGGTATTAAATAGGTAACCCCCTTTTTTGCCCTCCCTCCCACTTTAGAATCGATGTGCGAGCCCTGCTCACCCTTTGGTAATTAGAAAATTTTCACGACACAAATAAATGTAATAAATATAATAAAATAAGATTAGAAGAAATAAGATTAATAAATATTATATTTAAATACTAATGCGATTTTATCAGCCCTTCCTTAAATTTCTTTAGAGTTGGTTGACTTTTTAAGAGATCTTTCAACCCATTACAGAGACTTGCCCTCTGAATGAGAAACTTTTCTGACCGGCTGATGCCCTCAATATTGCTCTTAGGTTAATATCAAAATCCAGAGTATGCGAGAGGTTGTTTCGCTAACCCTCGTGAACACGTCACTCATATAGGACGGCGCCATCTTAAGGGTTTCAAGATAAGTAGTTCCCTGACCGTGGGCCATCCAAGAGCATGGTTTTGTAACTTTCGAAGTTAATCAAGAGATGTTTCACCAACACATTGCCAACTGTAACGATTTTCTGTGCGTGGGTATCATCCTTTTTTCTAGAACCTCATCCTTAGCTTTTTGTAATGTTCCTTATACTTTTATGAAATGTTTGTTTCGTTTTGTATCAAATCGCATAATTTACTATAATTTCCAGCATGGTTTATTTTATGCCATAGAATTCAAGAATATTTAAATTTTTCTGGCCTTGTTAGGTTGATATCATGATACTCTTGAGTAAAACCGTACAGGCGCTTAGAAACTCGCCTCGTATACACAGGCGCCCAAGACTCGTTTCGCATTGACTCGCCGAACTCGGGAAGCTTAACACATTGGTTGGGACTGGACAGGCACTTTTTGATGTTCATTCGATCCCAGAGCTGTAGCGAGGACTGACTTTGTTATTTATGAGTATAAGAATTTTCACCATAATTCGTACAGGACCAAATGGCTAGAATTTTGGGGGTTGTGACACTCCCCACACCCCTTCCTTTGCACTCCTGTGCGGCTCTGCCTGGGCGTGAGGCTATATGTCCATCTTACTTTGTGCCTAACCAAATTCATACATTACTTTTTATCATTTAAATCGAATATGAAAATTCTAATGAGCCTCTGCATTGCCAACAGAGACAAGTTTAATTAATTTAGCACAACGGATAAGCTGCACGACGTCTAGCAATAAGTCTTTGCGGTGGAACATTAAAATGCCCTCATTAGATTTTCACTGTATTTCTGATCCCACCTGCAAGTAAAGACAATAAACCGTTGCAAATACTACTGCAGTCCTGGCATCTTCGCTTTTCTTGATCTTTTTTGTCATCAGCTATTCTCCAATAGCAGAGTCGTGTGCTTTGTTTCAAGGGGCTCTGATCCTTTTACCTAAAAGAGCACCGCTTATTTCATGCCTTCTTGTGCAAATTGCATTAGATTTATACCTCCAGCATTTTGGGAATTTCCACGTCTTTTACATTTGGACCAAAACATGGTTGACACACACCTTGCGAGAAAATTCAAACGTTCGCAAGTCCATTTTTGCAACGCTACTGTGCAAGTGAAAGTTGAAGGTATCCAGGATCTATAATGTTTTATATATTTTCGTTTTTGTCTGTAAAGTCGATCCTTTTAGCCTAAAACATACATTTATTGTCTGTGACGATGAAGCTTATCAGCCGGCCGATGGTGAAGTGTCGCTTGCAGATATTTTTTTAGCTTAAGTAGCCTTTGAGAATTATAACTGATGAGCAAATGCGCTCAGACACAACAGATAAATGTGATATCTTTACATCTGTCCTCCTTCTGCAAGGCAGACCGTCCGGCGACATTCTTAGAACCCGAAAAACCCCGCCCACTACTTTGCAGAGTAAAGGTTCAGATGAGAGGCTCCTCCTCACGTGGCCCTTTTATGTTACCTTTAATATGAATGGAAGCTGTTGTTTACACCATTAGCTATGCAAAAAGCATAATGATAAAGTCAGTCTCTTTGCGGAGCTGTAAAAACCAAAGGGAAGTACTTTGGAAAAATCTAAATTCACTTCATGTTTTTTCCAGCCAAAATAGCAACCACCCGGTCTCTTCCTGACAATCTGTTTTCAACTCTCCAAACAGCCCCTTGCGTTTCTTCATATTTTCCCAGTTTTAAGCAAAACCTGTCATGAAAGCATACGTATAGTGAACTTAAACGGATAAAAACGTACGCGATGTCGTGTAAACGTGATTATCCGATCTTATTTTGTTCCGATTAGCATGAAGGATAGAATTTTGAAAAAGGAAGCTATATGAAAATAGCATTAGTACAGACAGTTTGACGCCAGAATAGATGCAAACATTTAAAGTTAATTTGAGTTTTACGGTGAATTCTTTGTTCGTCAAACAACAGACTGGGATAAGGGGTATATTTTGGGATTTTGGAGTGAGTCGCATTCACTGCAGCAATTGCCATTCCTTCCGCGAAATATCACAGGTGGAGACCAGAGTTCCTGAATGTTGGCAAGAAGCATGCCGCGACATCAATTTTGGCAGTTTATTACCGAAAGAGGTTGGGGGTTCCGTTTAAGCTTATTACACTATTAACCCCCTCATCCAGCAGTAGTCTTTTGAAATGTTCACTGGGTTGAAGTAGGGAGTGCTGGGGACGGCTCCCCTAAAAGACCTATTTCGTGACTATGTCTTTCAGATCGTCATCGAATCCACGGCAAACCTGCGCGTTAAAACGATGACCATTGATAAAGATTGTCTTAGCCATTGCAAATGGTGATTAGAGGCACGAAATACCAAGACTCCAACCTTTAGGAATATAACCCCCCCCCTCTCCCTCCTCTTATAATAGGATTTAATCTCTGCTTACGTGTTATAAATACTGTAACTTACGCATGCCCAGTATGCCGATTGTAAAGGGAGTTGTTGCGGGAGGCTCCCAGCTTAAAGATTGACACAAAAATTGCCTTTACTTGCCAGTTTATAAAACTTTACGGCAGCTGTTAATGAATTGCAAAGCAGTTTTTGGGCGCTGCAACATGAAGATATAATAGGTTGAGAAACTAATTAGAAAAATTTTTCCTTCTTCTCAGCTAGATTTTCTCTGCTTCTTCGCTTTTTTTCTATTTACGCGCTTGCAATTGTGTGGCTCTGGTCAGTGGCGGATCCAGACTACCGCCATTACCGCTCAAGCGGTATTCAGATTTTATTCAAAAATTATAGAAACAAGGATCATTTTCAAGTTTATCCTACTACTTTAATTAAACCATAGTTAGAAATTGAAAAGATTTGATCGCGCTGCAAACCAAGCATT